TATAAAAAGGAAGTAATAAATACTTGAACTTAAATATTTTTTCGTATTTTATGACTTTCATTTCGCGTAATATTATTAACTGGCTATTTGGAGTCGTGAGAAATAAGCACCAACATCTGCGGAAAATTTCTTCAAGTCACTCTGTTGTACTGCTACAAGTATTAATAAGTATTTCATTTAGAAAAAAATTATTAAGTACACATTTTCTCAGGAATTAAATTCATGTTATACAACGTTAGTAATTAAACTCGTAAGGACATTGAATTACTGATAAAGGCATGCATTAAAAGTTTATGATTCTATAATGATTACATCATAAAACGTAAATTATTTATTTATTTTAAATATTGAAAATTATTTTCAAGTATTTATTTAAAATAAATTCTAAATTTTTATTTTATTTGTTAAATAAATTTTTTATTTCAACTGTTATATTATAAATTTAATAAACAAATAAAAATAATTATTATGTTGATGAAAAAGAAATTATGTAACATAAAAAATTCCATTTCTGTTATAAACAGCAATTGAAATCCCTTTGATATATTCTCAAATCTCCAAAGAATTCTTCTTTCAAGAATTTCCAAATTTTACTTTCTCTACAGAAAGCTCCAGAAAAATTCGATTAAACCACACACTATAGACGAAATTCGATCTATTTTCTTCGCATAATAAATTTGTATTCACGTTACACATTGCGACGAATACAAACGAAAATCTGCAAGATATGAAACATGCTAAAGGAGGAAGCGAAGAAAGTCTGTATACGCATCAAAATACTAGCCTAAGGCAACCCTAAAGCGATTTACTTCGTTTCTTGCCACGTGGCTTGTAATTTCAAATAGAACTAAGGTATCCAACATAGAGTGAAGCGTCTTTGAGAAATTGAAAACAGGGACGGAAATTAATGGTATAGACCCAACGGGCTGTCAAATATTTGCTTCCAGACGGAATGAACAGATTCTGCTTTCAACTTCATCCATCTGAAAATCCTCAGTAAATTTAACGAACTCAAGTATTTTATAATTATATCTTCGTCTCTTTTTACACTATCTAAATCGAAACTATTCGCTGTATCAAACGATATTACAAACTTAGAAACAAGAGTTTCCCTAAGTTTCTATGCTTTGCAGAAGTACCTTAAAATCGACTCAATATATTCAATAAATACCTCTTTTATCTAATCATCTCAAAAAATTATCTTTATCTTTTTTGTAACATCTTTATTTATTACAATAGTATTTTAACAATACATTGAATAAATTTTATAGATGTGGGAATAATATCGTACTTTTTAGATAAACGATCTTATTAGATAGTTGTAAGGATTATCTAGATAATTAATGGACCATATCTAAAATAGCAATCCAATATTTTAGATTTTTTTATCGGTGTAGAAAAACTAGATTTTTAATCATATATATTTTTGTTATGGTTAAAAAAATTTTTTAATCAGTTCCTATTATTTCAACATATGGTAGTACATACGGAACATATTGCAACACAACATCAGCAAAAAATAAAAATAGCAAAATTAATTCCAGAAACATGTAAATGTTTATCAATCATGCATGGATTCATTAAAATTACCTCTAAAATGTTATTAAAAAATTATTTTTCAAGTTTATTTAAATTTTTCTATAAATAAAAATTAAATTAACTTCAGGAGATTTTGGGAAGACCCATTTAGTCTAGATGTCTCCAATTAAAGAATGCCTTCTCGTACATAAATAGATAAGGTATTGGACATTTTATCATACATCTATTTACCTAGACATATCCAATATTCCAACCTAAAAATATGACCAGAATGTATACATATTTATTCAGCAGGATATCGAGAATTCATAGAACAACGAAACCAGTGGATCGTAGCCAAAATTCAGAAATGACGTTCCAGGAGTACTGGAGGCGATTTCGGACTATTTCAGACATCCGGAGTTATAATACCATAGCAGTCCGGACAGAACCATTATACGGAACAACTAAGGATATACAATGTTATATATATATAGCGTACTAAAGTCCTTGGGTAATACGGAAACATCGTAAACTATTTGTTAACGTCGCGACACCGCGACTAGACTTACTTCCGAAGCTTTAATTTATTCAGTTGCACTTACTAGGTCTGTTTTAAATAAAAATTCAATGATATTCTTAGTAAATATATTTTACCACCATTTGGATAAAAGCAGACTACTCATGAATCATTTTAATGATTCAAATACTTTTATCCATTTTAATTTTTTTTTTTTTTTTTACAACCACATTATATTTACAGTCAGTGTAATCAAATTGATCTAGACGATTAAAATATATGTATTATTAAAATAAGTTATTATTTGTTCTTTAAACCTTTTGAAGATTACGTAAGCTACACTACGCGACATAAAAACTGTCTTAATTCGGTATAGGAGGGTATAGGGAGATCACAAGTATAACCTCAAAAGGAACCTACAAAAATTGAACAGCATTTATGGCTTGTAATTTATATTTAGGCATTCATGATGTAATAAACACCTAATTTAGATGTAGTATTTGTAAGCCTAATATAAACTGATAAACATTTTCCAATTAAGGCTCCACTAGAACAAAAAATCTGTTGAATTTATAATATCGGTTATATCATAGATGTCACTAGAAGCATTGTAGGACTAAGCAAGGCTAAAATAAATTCCTCTCAAGATATTTTAATTTTTAGAAAAATATTTTTTACAATCCTTTTAATATAAAAAAAAATGGTATGTAAATCCAAGAAAATATGGAAAATAAAGTGGGGAAAAACTTCCCCTATTTCAATTCCCAAAGGAACAACAAGAAACTTTTCACTCTACCGAAAGCTTACGGAGTAAGTAGACAAACAGATCAACGTTGAAGACAGGAAATGAAAAATGCTGGCACCCTTTGTTTACTAAAAAAAAATGAATCATTCAAAAAAGTCGTATTCTAAAAATATTTAATATTTAAAAATCAATTTTTTACTTTGTTTAAATATTTAAAGCTGACATTTAAAGGATTAAATACTTATATTTTTTTAATTTTAATTTTATTCTACAGGATTTTTAATAAAATAAAATTTTAATCTTTTAAAGATTTAAAATAGTTGTATGCATTAAATGAAATTACAATTGTTTTAAAACAATTTTACTTGTTGAAAACTTTCCATTACTTCAGCTTCACTGATTTAACAAGCTATATTGCTTATCTGTCAATATCTGGCTTCTAACGCCTAAGCTAATTTCAAACTCATCCTCTTGGCTTTCGTCAACATCCTTCAAGAGTCAACCCCTCGTTTGAAACTTCTCAAGGAGCAATCCAGACTCATTTCCACTGGACTGCCACTCCCCTTTTTATAACTTTTTGATGATAGAAAAATTTTATAACATCACATAACAATAACTATAAAATATAAGTGGATTTATTTAATCCACCATCTAACTCTGAAAATAGTAATAATTATTTTTTATCTTACATTTTTATTCTTCAAATTCTACAATGTTGAGTAATAAATTTTTTACAATTTTTATGAGAATAATATTTTATAGTTATTAAATAAGATATTAATTATAGTAACTTATTTTGAGAAAATTAATTTCTTTCATGTAATTTATTTACGTCTCTCTCTCTCTCTCTCTCTCATAATTTACGTAATAATTGTAACTATGTTGTTTTAATTAAAACCAAAGTGTAAATAAATTGAACTGAAATTACTTTTTAAGTTCAATTAACGCGTCGTCAACATCTAAAGAAAAGTTTAAGTAAACCAATCTAACTGTCTCTTAATTGAATTTTCAGAAAATTCGATTTACAGATTCAATATCTTGAAATCGCTTCAATCACTAACTCCCACTCTCACCAAGTTGCCTTTTTTCGAAAATTAATCCTGTACAAGTTGTGGGAGCCACAAAATGGATGACGAAAAGAGGGGTGATTGTTACAATTAATATATCTAATATTTAAAATTTTGAAATAAAAGAGAACATATTTCAAAGCAAAGACGTTCTGAAAGATAAACCCTAAAGTGAATATAGAAAATTATTCCACATGATAGTCTCTCTTTCAGTTTCTGGGAAATAAAATAAATAGGTTCTTTTTAATCATTTTATTGACTGGAACCATTTATTTGAAACCTTTTGAATTAATTTTTTTACAAAAAAAAAATCAACGAATTCAAATAGTGAAAAATAAACTTGTATAAATTGACAAAAACTAATAGTAGGTTCTGTTAAAGTTCAAAAGCTTAATAAAAAAAAATAATAATAGAATTAATAATTATTATTAATAAAAAATCTTATGTCAATAATTGTTTATTAGTTGTTCAACTGAGGATGGAAAAATAACAAGAAAATAATTTTTATAGTAAAAAGTTATAGCAGATAAAAGATATTGCGAAGATGATACTTTAAAAAGACTTCACTCTATAAATTTAAAAATACGACGTATTTGTTTCCTACATTTCAAATGTTCATGTTTTTGATCGAATTTAGACAGCGGTCTATGGACTATAAAATGAAATTTAAAGAAATTGGTAAAGAGGTAGAGGAGTATCGTGTCGATCATCATTTACCCAAGAGACATTTCTTGCTGTGAAATCCCAGTGCGGTGATCTCAGAAAATTGATCGCATCGTTGTGGATGTTTGCAAGTAGAGGAAAGAAAGGATACTTTGGCTATAAGCATCAGAGAGTAAAAAGAGGATACTTTTCCCACAAGACAATCCGATTTCCTTGTTAGAAATTGCAGTTTCAAGTTAAAGAAAAAAAGAAATGCTTTTTTTTTTTAATTTATTTTATCCAGTCGAGTTTTAATAATTTTATTAATGATAATAAAAAAAGGTTCTTCTTGAACTTTTGTATAACTTTGATAGAATAAATATATAATTGGGTAAATAAGGAGTTTAATGATCAATTTAAATGTTTGAAAAAAAAAATAATAATAATCAAATATTTTTTCTTTCGTTATAAAATTTTAATGATTTACTCTTTTTTTTTGTGATTACAGCAAAAGAATTAAAGTCATGTGGAGGTATAAGTAGTGGCGGAGAGGTATGTTGTTCGGCGGACATGGAGTTAAGGCTTCAGGCAAAAGCACGAGAAAGGCACGAAAAAGCCACGAGATCGACCCTTAGTCGACTCCAACAGCTTCTTGCCACGAGGGGCACAAGATTTCACAGTGAGTACATCAACCTTTACTACACATACTTACACTTTTAGTACTCTTCCTTTAATCCACGTAATCAAAGTAAAGCACAAACTTGAATCAAACTGAATAAGTCAAAAGAAATTTTTTTTTTTTTGGTTTCAATTGGTTGCGTTGTTGGATTTGAAAAAAAGAAAATTTCTCGAGGAAAATTTTTGTAAAATAATGGAGAAAAAATAATTTTATGTTGGAATTAAATGAATTTTTTTGTAATATTATTATGTGTCAGTATTTAATAATCAGACTCAGTATTATGATCCTGATGATTCATAATAAAAATAATAATAATAATAATAATAATAATAACAATTATTATTATTTTTATTATGATGTAAAATATTGTAGACTAAAAAAATCAGAATCATTAAAAAAAAATTAAAATTAAAATGTTATGTTGCGAGGTAATGAAGAGTATTTATATTTTATATAAATAAATATAATATAATAAATAAAGCTTTGTGCAATTTTATGATTCCATGCAATTTTTGTTTTTAAGTAAATAAGATTTTACTATTCAAATATCAATTGAATAAAAGAAAAATGAATATTTACTGTCTGCTTTACAATTGATCCTATTTTTATTTTGCTGAATCTACATAGAATTGTAACTGAGTACTTTTTTTATTGGTGCAGTTGAAAAAAATAATACTGCTGTTTAAAGTTGGCAAAAAAATTTTCACAGAATAAAAGTAAACCATTTTTTTTTTTACGATTTTTTGATATGATAAATTTAATCAAAATGTATAGATAAAAGGATTTATTTCTCTGAATTTTATTCTATGATAATTTTTTTTTGTTTATGAAACTTTTTTATTCCACAATTTTCAATCATTTACAAAAGAGTACTTGATTATAATATTTTAAAAAAAATTATTTTTTCCTTTGTTTAATGTAAATAAAAATTATTTCTTTGTGACATTATATTAAAACACTTTTAGTGCATTGAAATAAAACACTTAAAATAATCAAGATTGGCTATATTCTAAAAAAATTCTTTATTATTTATATTTTTAATAAATATCAAATTAATTAAAAAATATTATTGATTATTGATAAAATACCAACAAAAAAAATTATTCCCTAGAGAAAGCTAAATAATTAAAAACTATCAAAAGAAATGTATTTTCTCAATTCAAAATAGTTTTTCTCGTTAGTGGTACAAGTGACAACTGGGGATCGAAGCTGTCCAGTACACGATGTTTCTAGGGAATGTGACGGAAGTATAAAGAGGGGGATGAAACGAGAGATTTCAGTGGCTTCGAAAGAGAGTTACGTTAAGAGAAAATAAAAATGAAACGCTTTATACGAATTCTCTTAAACTTTTTTCTATTTATTTTTCTTTCATTTCGTTTTCTAATTAAAGAGAACTTCATGTTTAAGCCAGTTGCAGACGTGTGTACGCATCACAGAGAGATGAGATATATTTTCTCTTTCATCTTAGAAAAAACCACTTTACAGAAAAATACACTTGCACATGTTGTGTATGACTTACTATTCTTTGACTACACACATCAATGTGTTCAAATTATTATTTAACTAAATTTTATTATTATTATGATTATTATTATTATTATTTTTATTTCATTGAACTTGCAATCTTCAATACTTGAATTGGCAAGTTTTATTCAAAGTTTACACGATACAACTCAAACCTTGAGTTACTCACTTCAACCTCAGATAATTCAAGAGTGTAATCATCTAAAGTTTAAGTACAAACTTAAAACAACAACCCTTCATTTAATTTCTACCTGAGAGAGCTAGTTTAAATTATTATGGTATTCTTATTAATTTTCTTTTCAGATTAATATATTTAATTAATTTTATTACAAAGAGAGGAAATTTTTTATCCAAAGTATTTATCAATTTTCGTAATTACAGTTCATATTATTTTTCTTTTCTAAATAATACATAACATTTTATTATTTCAATTTAATTGTCATTTTTACAGTATATTTTTTTTTCTAATACTCTGCTGTTGACCTTTTTATATTAATAGATAAATAACTAACATTATAATTTTTTTTAATAAAAAAATAAAATAAAATAATTTAGAGATTAATTATATTGCAAATCAAAAATTTTCAGAGTTAATCTAATAAAGTTGCAAATAAAAATATTTCATTATTTAATAATTTGCGTAAATAAAATTTTAATTTATTCTTATAAATTGATAATTAATTGAAAAACAAGATTAAATAAAAAAACATCAAAGTTATTCATTTAATGCTCTAAATATTGCTTAAAGAGTTAAAAAGAATAATTACTTTTTTATTAACCATAAAATTTATATACTTCTTTTTTTTTTATTGATTACCTTTAATCAAATAAACTGCTACAATAATCAAAGAGTCTTTTTAAAATTAATTATTCAAATTTGAATATTATCAATTCAAGCACAAATGTTGTTTGTAAACATACATGAATTTGCATGAAAATAAAAAATAATATTCAAAGGAATGGAAATAAAGGTAATTATAATTAAAAATTTCATTAGCAGTAACCATGATAATATTATATATTACCTTTCCAATTTGTTTTCCTACTAAGCTTCCAATTAATTTTTACATCTCACAGAGTGCTACTCTTTGAGTTCATGACTCCTTTAACTGATATCTCTCTCTCACTCTTAGTTTGGCTTTGATGTGGGTAGTGGGTACCTAGCCAGTGCCTGTATTATGCTAGAGAACATACACTGAGTGTGCCCTCTTTACTTAGCACTCTGCACAACATACTTGTGGCACAGACGAGAATTTTACTATGAGAAACAACCAAAGCTTCCGCGTCTTTTTTATTTTTTTTTACCTTCCATGTACTGCTTTGATATGAACAAGCACCGCAAGTCCTCATCAGCAAGTCTTTGAGTGAGAGTTACGGTAAGTTAGAGATTTACAGACTTGCACCTGCTGAAGACTTTTTTCACATAAAATTCATTGACTCATTGATACAAAAATAAAGAAAAAAATTTTAAATATTTTTTTTTTTCCTTAATCAAAAAAGAATTTAAGTGAAAAGCTAGAGTAATCAATAGATAAAAGGAAAAAGTAATTATTTTAACAATTAAAAATTTATTTAAAAACAATTAATTTAAAAAATAGATTTTTTTCTCTTGGTAGCATTTTATTGATATTAATTTAATATAATTATATTCATGTTCATAATAATTCAATAAATTTAAACCATTTTTTGTTGTTTATAAGAAATTGAAATTTTTATAATTGTTTAGAGTCTTAAGGACAATATTCTATTGATATTTAATTCAATTTTCAACAATATTAAAAATGAATGACTTCTATTATTAATAAATGGACACAAATTTGCACACATATTCCTTACCAATAGGCAAATAGGCTCTAGAAAAATTTGATTCGAAACGTACAAAAATACGTACGGACCATGAAAAAAAAATGACAAAATTACAATCTCTTCACAATGACTTCCAAATAAAAAATAAACAATAATTATTTTTTAAAAGTACCTTATAATATTTAAATCGAAAAATACTTGCTAGAGAGAATTTTTATTTCATCTCACATGTCACGATCATTCTTGGACATTTTTAATAAGAGAAAAATCTAGCTGAGACGAAAATGAAGGAGATTTAAAGAAAAAGTTAAAAAAGAAAATAATATAGAAAAGGCTTCAATTATTTTTTCTATCTCGTTTTAACTTCGAACTTTGTGTTCGTATTCTTCGGACGTCACTTTAGTCACCAAGGAATGAGATTAAAATTCCTTTTAAACGAAAACTACTAAAGAGAATCAAGTAACCTGTAACGAATCTCTAGATGCCATGAAAGAGGAAGCACTTAGCTGTGGCAATGGTAGCGGTGGCGCATTTAATTCACAAAAGTCTGTCGTACTTTGAGGCGGTAAAATCTCTACTAATTTTAACCCCCTCCCCCTCAATATCCTTCACTTCCTAACCAATTTCCATCTATGTTCGACGTAGATGAGGGGATAAATTTACCCCAACTTCATCCAATAATTTCATCTTTATTGCAAACTGTAATTAGCAACGTCTTATGGAGTATATGACGTCCAGCAGAAACTTGATTTATTAAAAATTCACTGGATGACTGTTCTTTTTTGATATCATGAATTTTTATTGACATTTATAATTAGTTTTTTAATTAATTTCTAATATTCATTTATTCAAATGTAACATTTATTCTTCTTAAGAATTTATTTTAATAAAGAAATTGAATTTTATATTCAATAAAAAGCTCTTTAACTTATTAGTTTTTGTAGAAAATTATTTCTTTCAATTGAAAATATTTTTTATGATTATAATAAAAGGCTTTAAGAGACTTGACATTAATAGAATAATTTTTTGTTCCAGGTTTTTTCAAAGATTTATTGGAAACCTCAAAGAAAGGTTTTCATGAGATGTTCAAGAAAACTTATGGAATTTTGTACGAGCAAAATGCCTACGTCTTTACGGATCTTTTTAAAGAATTGGAAAATTATTATACGAAAGGAACGGTAAGATTTCCATTTAGAAAATTACATTTAAGAAATTGATACTCAACAGTGATAATTTATCAATGATAAAATATTTTATAAGTCATAATGAATATAAATGAGTGTCTAAAGTATGTGTAAAGAAGTAATAAATGGCACAGAAAATACTGGAGATGCTATTAAATTATTTCAATATTCAATAAAAGTGTAGAGTAGCATTTCTCCAGGTCGATAAATCATATCTAGACTACGTTGCAATTCAACAGCAGGATAATCTCTACTCTCAACGGGATATCTTTTCTCTTTAGAAATTGTTTCATGCAAATGAATGCTCAATCAATCCCTTTGTAATTACACCACTACTCCTGATCAACTCAACTGTCTTTCCTTCATCTCAGTAAATTACACATTTTTCCCTAAAATTTGCATTCATTTTTATTCTATTGATTGATTATCTCCAATGAATTTTAGCCCATAAATATCATGATTCAATAAAAGACAATCAGACATAATTATTTTACTATTTAATTACAGGTAAACTTAGATGATGCTATGGACAATTTTTTTAACACTTTATATCAAAAGATGTTCACTGTATTGAATAGTCAATACCTTTTTGACGCCAAGTATCTCGAGTGTGTGGGTAATCACATGAAAGAGATGCGACCATTTGGAGATGTACCACAGAAATTGGGTGTACAGATAAAGAGATCATTCATTGCTACGAGGGCGTTCAGCCAAGCTTTGACAGTAGCTGCTGACGTGTTGAAGAACATGCAGACGGTAGGTTTTAACTTGGAGTTCATTAAATGATTTATTCATAAATAAAAATCCATCTCCATCAAATTAAAATGCTGAACGTTCATTGATTTAACTTGAAAATAAAAATATTCAACATGTCTGCTAGAAATAAATAAGTATCATAAATATTTTTAGAACAAAGATTGAAGAGATGAGATATTTTTTTTTTTGGAAATACTGGTCAGACTGACTAAATAAGGAGACTTAGGTTGATCATTTGTTTTTATTATTAACATGTTATTGTAGTCATGATGAATTACAGAGAATAGTAAGAATAATAATAATAGTTGGTTATAAATAAATTTACTTTTGTTCTTAACAGCTGAGAGCGTCTCCCGAATGTGCCGCTGCATTGACAAGAATGACAGCATGTCCATCCTGTAGTGGTATAGCCGGCAATGTTCTTGCCTGTGGCGACATGTGTGCAAATGTGATGAAAGGCTGTCTAACTCAGCATGCAGCACTCGATGCTGAATGGAATCACTTTGTTGGTAAGTTGTTTTAAACACTCGTGGGAAATTCATCATCAATTGGATGAAAAAAATATATATATATAAAAAAAGAAACTTTAAAATATTTATTTGATTAATATAAAAATAAGATTGAAGAAGATGATAAATTTTATTTAGCTATAGAAAAGGAAAATTAATTTAAAAAAGATCAAGTACAGATGGCATATAAAGAGAAAAGTCTCCAATAGTAGTAGAGAAGACGAATTTCATTATGATAATTTAGAGACTCATGAATTTTCACTGGGAGACTAATTATTCTTTTATATATATATATAGTTGAGTGTAAGTAAGTACTAGGACAAGTCACTCTCGATTACTCAAATGTCATTCTAAGAAAGTAAGGAGACACGAGAGATTAATGAAGAGACCACTTGTCCTGTTTGCAAATGAGAAATATCATTCAACTGAGAAGGTGGTATTCCAAAATTGGAAAATGACATCATTCTCTTCTAGATAGCAAAAGTTTTTTCATACTTATCAATTGTCTTATATTACTTCTCTTCTTCAAATGTTCAAATAATCCTACATCATCAGAATGCTAGATGATAAGAATATAAATGCAATTAATATTGATTATATTATACACAATTTAAATGTGATTATAAATCTTCATGAGTCTAATGAGAATTAATTTGAAATTCCAGAGGCCGTGGGTAAAGTTGGTGAACGGCTACTTGGTCCTTTTAACATCGAGATGTTGGTGAGGCCAATCAATCTCAAGATATCCGAAGCGATAATGAACTTTCAAGAGAACAGCGCCGATGTCTCCCAGAGGGTTTTCAGTGGCTGTGGGAGACCAGTGTTAGGTAGAAGAAGAAGAAGAAGACGGAGTGCACGAGAAACGGATTTTGAATCTTCAAACTTCGATCAGGAAACCAGTGAAGATGGTCGATCGACAACTGCTGCAATGCTTGATAAATTAGTTAAGGAGATTAGGCAGAGAGTTAGAGATTCAAGACAGTTTTGGATCTATCTGCCATATCAGTTATGCAACGATGGTCTCGTTGTACCTCCTAGTAACACTAAAGAATGCTGGAATGGTACTCATGTTGATAAGTAAGTTTTTTTTGTTATATTTTAATGTAATCTAATGCTTGAAGAACACAATTGTTATACAATCATTTGTATTATTCTAGGTATTTATATCCAGTATCGTCTGATGGAGAAACACAAACATTAAATCCTGAAGTTCGAGGCAGTGGTCCAAGGCATCCAATTGTCAGAGATCAAATATTTGCTCTTACTACTATTACTAGTAGATTGAGATCCGCATTTAATGGTCAAGATGTAGACTGGGTGGATGCTGGTTAGTATAAAGTTACATTTCATGATAAAGTATATGTTTCATCATTGAAAACCAAACTAAAAAGATTTATTTATTTCACAGAAGAGACACCCTATGGCTCTGGAAGTGGATCAGGAGATGGAGTTGATGAAGATGATCCAATAACGGATGATGAAGATGGATTCCGTGAAGAATCATCAGGCTATGAGCCAAATCCAGCACCACCACAAACTCCTAAAGTAGTACCACCTCCAGTATCACCAGGATTATCTCCTAAAGTTGAAATAGAACCTAAAGTTCCAACGATCGACAATAATGATATTGATTTAAATAATAGTAATAACGAAAATAAAAATGACACAACGACTGCTGTAGATAGTGGAGCCACAAGGCAACATATATCATTGACACGTGCCCTCACGTCGTATCTCTTCCCTATTGCTGTTATGTGGTTTGGCGGTTGTCTCACCGAATGGCTGTGATCACTCATCCTCCATGATCAGATGGAAATTGTAAATAATTAAACTAACACTCAGTTTAACTGAATGTCAATGAGAACGAAGATCCATGATGATCTTGGGTTTAAGTAGATGACGACCGGTGTGCCATTTTTTTAAATCTTCTTCAGGTCGTTCAATGGACTGACGATAAAAATACGTACTATCGATAAAGGTGAAATGCTCTTGGAGCAGAGGAAAACCTTTATCATCAACGACAGAATTATTGTCGATAAATTACGATAATTATGACGATGGAGATAAACAAAGACGGTCGATTATGTCAATAATTTGATATGTGGTTTTTGGAAAATAATTTTTTATGAGTGAAATAAAATTAAAAGATTCAGGATCTTCGAGATAAGACTATAAATTATTCGCGAGAGTGTTTTTTTAAGAACTCAATATTTATTCGTGAAAATTTTTTACAAGTAGTTTTAACAAAAATACTTTCGTGAAGTTAAAAAATTTGTCTCGAGAGCTGAGGTGAATGGAATTTATTTAAAAATGAATGAAAAGTGATTTTGTTTTTCTTAATTTTCATTTTATTATCTCCCTCTCTCTCTTTCTCTCTTCCTCTTTTGTAAAGTGTAAATATTAATTAGATACAAGAATGAAGCCAATTAAAGTTTTAGAATAAAATTTTTTAAACGGTTTTATTAAAGCTTCTATTCTATCGAATTAACTTCAATTAATCAATGTTGATATGGTAGAAGACTTTGATTACACCCTTAAAAATATTTTGAGTCGTGTATTAGGAATTAAGTTTTGATATATTTCATTGAGCGTGTGGAAACTGTAAAAATACAGTAATGAGAGAGCATAGAGAGGAATAAAATGAATAAACAAATACGAAAAATAAAAAGAAAAAAATAATAACAGGCTCCTGTGATAAAATCAAATAAAAAATTAAGCCGCGTTTTAATAATATAAAATTAAGAAATTTCAACGATTTTATTTGTTGGATTCAAAATGTATTTTATTCGATTCATTTTGTGGATAAAATAATTATTTTAAAATAAGCAATTAACATATAATTAATGTAAAAGTGTAAGAAGGAAAAATCTAGTGAAATATTTAAATGAATAATTAACTACGATTAAATATAATCATTTGTAATTATTATTATTAATAATATTATTATTACTTTTATTGATTATCATTATTAATTATTATAATAATTATTGTATGCATATAGTTATAAATATCAAATTAATATAAAATTTATCAAGTTACAAGAGTTTTATTCAAAGACGATTGTAAAAATGCATTGATTAAAATATTGTGCATATTACAAAAAAAAACAAATAATATACATAAATTCTAAAAATTTCATTTTTTTTTTTGTTTTTGTTTTGTACCTAAGATCAAAAGTTTTGGTTCTTTAGAATTATTTTTTTAAACTGCCAATAATTCCGTAAATTTTTTCAATAAAGGAACAAATGACTCAACTAGGTAACAGGGTTATGAAACTTCTGTATAGAAAGAAGTAAAAAAAAATTAAAAAATACGTGTCATTCGAAGGATTGTAAATTTCTTCGATTAAAAATTACGGAATAACTGAATAAAGATGCTAATAAAATTATTTAGAAAGTAATAACCTGAATTAAAGATTACAAAAAGTATCAATGATTATTGATTATAAAAAATGTACTAAATGTGACAAAGAAAAAATATTGTGCTGACAATGTTATTAAAAATACAGAAAGTAATTTATTCGTATTAAAAACGAAAAGTATTTGTATGTAAAATACACCGTAGAGGAACAAAAAAAAAATTATGAACCGATGAAATTATTAAATATAAATAATGAAATAATTACAATTAAATGTTAATAAGTGTATTCTTTGATAATAATATGTTTATATGCATTTGAGATTTTTTACAAACCAACATGTACATTCACAGTTTTTTTTATTGTATTCAATTATTTGTTCATTCCAACTCATTGAATTTACATTTTATCTACCAGTGCTAACAAATAAACTATTTAAAAAAATATTTGTCTTTTGAATTTAAAATTAATGTAAATTATTATTTAAGATAATTATGTAGATTATTATGATGGAAATGGTATGCATATTATTATGAATATCAGGTAAATACTTGAAAATACTTAAACGTAATACAAAATGCTTGTCATAGATAATATTTATAATTTATTTAAGAATACTTAGGATATGACAAATTCGGAAATTAATGGGAAATTAATTGTCGGTAACACAATATTTTTTGATATGAAATCAATCATTAATAATAAATGAAACTTGAGCAATATTCGGTATGGATAGTATAACAGTTTCTTTTAAGAATAATGTTGTCAAAGCGAGTACTAATAGTTTTTCTATTGAAGTGCATTTTAAATATAATCGCCATTCATTTATTTAACAATAGTGATAAAGGCAATTTTTTTATTATTCATAAAAAAGTGGTAAGATTATTTTATTTTCAGTCACCCTTAGCTTTTGGTTCTTTAAATTTACACTTTGGGAAAATTGCAGAATGAAATTTTACGAGGATGCTTTCAAGATGATCTTAATCCACTCATCATAACAGAACAATCCAGCAAGTATGTTTTCCCTAACTCAAACCAAGAATTGCTATCATCATCAATTATTTTAATCAACAATGACTTCAAGATCCAGCAAAATGCTAAAAACTATAATCCTCATAAAGGAATGTTTTTATTAACTGCATCATCTGAAGACCAGCTGAATACAACTATTTCTCAACTGCAGTCAACACCATGGTGGAATACAGAGTCATACTTCTTGCTGATTGGACCATCAACGAATTCATCAACAGATGCATCAAAGGTTCTTGCTTTGATGTGGAAAAGAAAAATCCTATCAGCTGTCTACCTATGTTATGACATTGATAAAGAGGCTGTGATGTTTTATACATTCAATCCATTCAATAATTATGCACCATCTCCATGGAAGTCGGTTGATGAAATCAAAACGAAGCCTGATCCACGCTGGACTCTGTATGAGTATCAATACCATGGAGGTATTTAACTTCTATACCATTACATTTTAGTATTTTTTATTTAATCAATTCAATATTTCAGATGGCACAATATGTTCTGTAATCATGTTTGACAAAACTCTGAAGCTAGACGACTACGTCATATCAGTCATCATGGACAAAAAATTACGTAAAAAAAATGTGCCTGCAGGTGTACCTATAAGACTACGTGACTACAGAAAATATGCACCTCTCATAGGAATATCAGGACTAAGTGAAGTGTTTTCTATGATGAAAGTTAAGGTCAATATAACTGACACAAATGGATTATGGATAAGCAAAGATAAAAGAATTTATGGAAACCTTCAAGATCTCCTAGATAATGACATGTATTTGAGACCGCGTCCTATGTATCATGGATTCAAGCACGCTATCTATCCACATATCGTTTCACGTCTCATCCTGCTAAGCCAAAAGAGACCACTTTTAAACACTGAATCGAAGATTTTTAGTTTTTTTCATTCTAACATTCTAATACCAATCATTTTTGTGTTTCTTACTTCAACAATTATCCTACAGATAAACCGACAACAAAACTTTACATCAGCATTGCTAAAAATATGGCAACTGTTTCTTGGTAATTACTTTCCTCAAAGACTAACCAACACACAAACACGAATTTACTTTTTTGGAGTGTTCGTGTTGGTGATCATACTCAATGGAGCATTCCAAAGCAAACTAGCATCATTCTTGACAAAACCTGAACGAATTTACGTCAACACCATCGAAGATGCATTCAAACTACGATATCACATTTATGGAGCAAGAGACTTCATGACAGGTACTGGATACCTAGAGTTACCAGCGGAGAAACAGAAATATATCCACTTCACAGATACGTTTAAATGTGTAGATCCAATTTTGAATAATTCTCAAGCTTTGTGTTTAACTACTCCGTATTATGGTACTGGAAAAGCTAAGAAATATGGACTTCTCGTGTCTCCACCAGTTCACCAGTTCTACACAGTGAATTGGGTCTCACCTGGATTTCTTCTGAAAAATAGAATCGATGCTATCATTTTTCGGCTCAAAGCATCTGGTTTTTTGGCCCGTTTGGAGAAGAAAACTTTCTATGATCGAGTAGATTATATAAACTCCCTTGAAGATAATGAGACTAAATTCCGAAGTCGTCCTATTGAACTACATGATCTTGGGTTCATCTTCAAGGTGTTGATTCTAGGTCATATCTGTTCTTTAATTATTTTTATAATTGAATCATGGTATCATTGAAACTATATTGATTGACTTTTTGCTGGAGTAAAGAAGAAATAATTATTTTAATTAGCTATTATTAGCAAATGTGACCTTAGTTTAGTTTTAGATGCTTCTAAATTAATCATATCAGTTATTATTCATTTCATGTTATTTAAAATATATCAAGTATAGACATTAATTGTTTTCTTTGTTATTGTATTTGATCGTTTGTTCACTCGAACTAATTGAATATTTATTTCAATTTATAAACAACTAAAAAAAAAATTTGTCTTGTAAGTTTGAAGTTGATGTGAATTTTATTTTATGATATTCATGTCCTTTGAAGCATTAAATTTTATATTTTAAAAAAAGAAATTAAATTTTTGTCTTATTTAATGATCTGATCTTTTATATATATATATTCAAATTCCTGATTTGGGATCTTGGTGATGAATGTAACAATGATGATGTGACAAAAATTTTATTGACAGACAATTGTAAATATTTAATGTCATTTAATACTTGGATGTATCCAAAATGTGAGTTGGAATGAAAAAAACATTTATAATTCATCTATGATTTTTTTTATCATAAAAGCCTGAAAATGAATGAGAAAGTAATTATTAGCGACACGATAGAAAGATTTCTATGGAAAGGGCGAATGTTATGTATTAATAATGAATAGAACGCAAGCTAAATTCGAGGGAAATATTTTATAAGGTTTTTATTTTGATAGAAGAATATAATACTATCAGAGATCATACTTCTTGCTGATTGGACCATCAACTCATTCATCAGCAGATGCATCAAAGGTGTTTGCTAATATTTAAAAGATAATAGATTTTATAAGTGTTTAATTGATGTGTTTATATGCATTTGAAATGTCTGTATCAAGTATGTACAGGTATCATTATTTTATTACATCCAATCGTTTATAGACATCAACTTATCGAATACACATTCTAATGTATGAACAACTGGACAATAAATTTGTCTGCTGAGTATGAAGTTAATGCATGTACTTCACAGTCACTACTCAAATATTTTGATGGTGCAAGCCACATAGAATATTGATGTGACAAATAAAATATCTAGAATCAATGCATGAATCTCTGAAAAATGACAGTTCAAATGCTGATAAAAATCTCTATGCTAGTGACCTTTTCAAAATTCTATTGATATATGTATAGTCATGATTGTCTTATTTTTGGATGCACAAATGGAATATTTTTCAGAATAATGTTGTTGAAGCAAGTATTGATAGTTTTTCTATTGAAGTGCATTTTAAATATAATCGCCATTCATTTATTGAACAATAGTGATAAAGGCAATTTTTTTATTATTTATAAAAAAGTGGTAAGATTATTTTATTTACAGTCATCCTTAGCTTTTGGTTCTTTAAATTTACACTTTGGGAAAATTGCAGAATGAAATTTTACGAGGATGCTTTCAAGATGATCTTAATCCACTCATCATAACAGAACAATCCAGCAAGTATGTTTTCCCTAACTCAAACCAAGAATTGCTATCATCATCAATTATTTTAATCAACAATGACTTCAAGATCCAGCAAAATGCTAAAAACTATAATCCTCATAAAGGAACGTTTTTATTGACTGCATCATCTGAAGACCAGCTGAATACAACTATTTCTCAACTGCAGTCAACACCATGGTGGAATACAGAGTCATACTTCTTGCTGATTGGACCATCAACGAATTCATCAACAGATGCATCAAAGGTTCTTACTATGATGTGGAAAAGAAAAATCCTATCAGCTGTCTACCTATGTTATAACATTGATAAAGAGGCTGTGATGTTGTATACATTCAATCCATTCAATAATTATGCACCATCTCCATGGAAGTCGGTTGATGAGATCAAAACGAAACCTGATCCACGCTGGACTCTGTATGAGCATCAATACCATAGAGGTATTTAACTTCTATACCATTACATTTTAGTATTTTTTATTTAATCAATTCAATATTTCAGATGGCACAATATGTCCTGTAATCATGTTTGACAAAACTCTGAAGCTAGACGACTACGTCATATCAGTCATCATGGACAAAAACGCACGTCGAAAAGAAGTGCCCACAGGTGTACCCATAAGACTAAATGACTACGTCCAGTACATATTATCAAAGCGCATAACAGTGACAATGAATGATGTGTTTTCTCACATGAATGTAAAACTGAACCTAACTGATTCTGATTATCTAAAGTGTTGCTTACAAACAAACGACGAAAGACTTTTTACAAAACTAGAAGATCTTTTAGACAATGCCTTTTTACTAAGACCACAACCCATGTATCTCGGTTATAAACACGTGACTTATCCAGATGCTAGGGTACTTATGATTCTTCTAGGTCAAAAGAGACCATTTTTAAGCACTGAAATCAAAATCTTAAGTTTTTTCAATCTAAGCATTTTGGCACCCGTTATCATTGTATTCATCATGTCAGCGGTTATTCTGAGGATAAACCAGCGACAACATTTTATATCAGCATTGCTGAAAATATGGCAACTATTTTTGGGTAGCTACTTTCCTCAAGCTCTAAAGAACACTCAATCACGAATCTTCTTCTTTGGAGTATTCTGGTTGGTGATTATTTTGAATGGATCATTTCAAGGAAAATTAGCATCATTCTTGACCAAACCAGAACGAATTTATGTCAAAAACATCGAGGATGCTTTTAGATTAAAATATCATATTTACGGCCCTGTTGATTATATGACCGGTACAGGATATCTAGAGCTACCAGCAGAGAAACAAAAATATCTCCATCTTGTAGAAACCGATAGATGTTTGGCTCCAGTTTTGAATGATTCTCAAGCATTGTGTTTGACCAATCCAAACTACGGTACCACAAATGCTAAAAAATATGGGCTACATATCTCTTCACCTGTTCTTATCTTTTATACTTCATATTGGGTATCACCTGCGTTTCCTCTGAAAAAGAGAATAGATACAATTATTTTACGTCTTCAAGTAACTGGTTTGACTGGTCGGGTACTGAATCAAGTGTTTTTTGATCGACTAGGCTTTTTACAAGCCCATGAGCATGAAGAGACGAAATTCAATCGTCGTCCTATTGAATTATCTGATCTTTTTTTTATATTCAAATTTTTGTTTTTGGGTCTTGTTTGTTCATTTATTGTTTTTATAGTTGAACTATGGCGTCATAAAATTTGTCTTTGATTTGAATGAATATAAAATGGATGATGCGACAAAAGTTTTATTGACAGAAGATTGTAAATATTTGATGTCGTTTGATATACTTGGATATCCTCAAAGTGCGAGCTATAATAAAAAAGACATTTATAATTCATTCATGATTCTCCTAATTATCAAAGCCCGAAAATAAATGAGAAATTAATTGTTGGCAACTGTTACTCATTAATATTGAATAGAAAACAAGCCAAATGCGATACAAGTATTATTGTATTATTAATAATATCCAACGATTATTGTTAGAAATAACCTCAAATTTATTACTTCATTTATAAAAACGTTTTTTTTTATGATTTATAACACATAATGTGACTTTATTTGTATTGAATAATAAATCTTACTGTGATTCTATTACTCATAATCCTATGGACAAGCATGTACAGGTGTTCAAAGATTCTAACCTAACATATGTCACTACAATTAGCAGTAAACTCTTTTGTTTTAAATAATAACTGTTCTGTAATATATTACTTATATTACTTAGTGAAATTTTTAATAGATCTACATTTCTAATGTGTGGAATACTCTGTTGTATTTATCAAACAATAGATAAAAACAAAATTTTTGAAATAAACAAGGTTTGATACTTATCTATTGTTATTCACATTTAATCTTTAATTACCTTGTTGACATTTATTTTGTATTATCCAACTTTAAAAAATAATTTTTTTAGTGGACTACATTGAAAGAACAAACAGCTAAACGTGGACCAGACATTTTATCGACATGTCAAATAACCACTGATCATTGGAGTGGCGAATTCGTTGCTAGCGTTCTATGGATGCAAGGTTCATGTCCAACTCTTCAACCATGCGTAGACGAAGAAGGAAATATTCTCTTATGGAATGGAGATATTTTCACTGGAATCCTAGTAATTTTCAAAATCACCTAATAATTATAATTAAATAACCTATAATTCATAACTCAATTAAATAAATTTTTTTTTTTAGGCAAGTAATGACGATTGTGATACTCTAACACTATCAACAAAATTAAAATCACAAAACAATGTTTATCAAACTCTATCTCATATCGAAGGACCATATAGTTTTATTTATTTCCAAAAAAAAACCAATACATTATATTTCGGAAGAGATTCCATTGGTCGACATAGTCTCTTAATAAATATTCACGTAGAAGATGAATCTCCGTTTCTCACATTATGTTCTATAGCTCACAAAAATATTGAAAACATCATAGAACTTCCAGCCATTGGAATTTTTTCTATGGATCTCAATGCTTCTACATTCAATTTATCATGCTCTCCATGGCATGATACAGATGATCATTTTTATTCTGTAATTAAAAATTTAAACCTGCCTATAAATATTAGAATCAACCAATCAATATTACCAATAACGATAGAAAATTCTTCATCACAACTGATGAATCAAGAATCATTAAACTTCATAGATATTGTCAATTCAATGGACTACAAAGGTAAAGAAATGTTGGAACATTTGTTAAAAGATGTAAGAGTTGATAAAAAAGTCTCACAATTATGGAGATTATTAAATTCATCAGTACATTATCGTGTAAATAAAAAACCAAGATTTTGTCAAAGCTGTGTCAAATTAGTGATCAATCCTAATCCAATTTCTAATGATGAATGTAACTGTGATCATTCTAAAATTGGTATATTATTTTCTGGAGGCTTGGATTCAACAATTCTAGCTGCTATTACTAGTACAATAATACCTGAGGATGAAAGTATTGATTTAATAAACGTAGCTTTTGAATTAACAGCAAATAAAAATCGATCATCATCATCAGCATTTGATGTTCCTGATAGAAAGACTGGATATCAAGCTCTAGAAGAACTAAAAGAAATCTTTCCACAAAGGAAATGGAATTTTATTGAAGTCAATATCACTAGAGAAGAATTACAAGAATATTGTAGTAAACACATTTGCCATTTAATTTATCCTCTTAGAACAATTTTAGATGAAAGTTTAGGCTGTGCTTTGTGGTTTGCTAGCCGTGGATCAGGTGTTTCATCATCAACCAATCAACTTTATCAGTCACCTTGCAGAGTTTTACTTTTGGGAATGGGAGCAGATGAACTTTTTGGCGGGTATACTCGTCATAGAACCATTTTACGCCGTTCAGGATGGGATGCTTTGACCAAAGAACTCAATCAAGAATTATTAAGAATACCTGAGAGAAACTTGGGAAGAGATGATAGGATTATTTCTGATCATGGACGTCAAGCTCGATTTCCATTCCTTGATGACAATTTGGTTAAATATGTTCGAAGCTTAAAATCATGGGAACGATGCTGTCCAATTGATAAAATGCCTTCTGGTATTGGTGATAAACTACTCCTCCGATTATTAGCCTATAAGATAGGCTTAAAAGAAACAGCTACTTTCCCTAAAAGAGCTTTTCAATTTGGATCAAGAATTGCTAACAGCAAAGAAAATGCTAAAGACTTGTCTCAGTGGTTAAAATAAACCAATAATACCTGACTATTCTTTTTTTTTGTACATTATATTTTAATAATTATGTAATAAGAATCTGATATTACTATTTTTTAGATCAGTCTATTGTTTATTTATATGCTGAAAATTATTTGACTCAAGTTAACGTTGATTATTCAGCAAAAGGCACAATTTTATAATCATCTTACTTCGTTGTTTTTCGTCAAGATATGTTATCAGAATATATTAAATACTCAAACATCAAGATTATACCTCATTACTTTCATACTTGAAGAGTTTTAAGTTGGATTTTAATCAGTATTGTTTATATTATTTTTATTCCATATTTTGTTGATTACTATTGAATTTCATTTTTAAAAATTATCTTTTCAATAAAATAAAAAATATTTTCTCAGTTAAGATAACATTAGTGACCTTCGAACTCTGATACACTGGAGTTAGTGAGCAGTAATTAGTATTCATTGATTTCCTATTGTCTAAACCAAAGGTAATTTGATATTTTTATCTAACTTTTTTATAAGCTAATTATTCGAATAATCAATTATTCAGCATAGCTGTTTTTTATTTTTATAATAAATAAGTTTGAGTATAGCCAAGTCATTTAAGTCTTAAATGTTGAAGTTGTATGCATTTACATAATTGAATTTCAGGTTCACATATATGAAAGTAATGAAGTGTTGAATAATCTCATACTGTCTGTACTCAAGTGTAGAAATCAGTTGAAGCCATTCGAATAACTATGGATTTACACTTTCTACCGTTAGTATCACAAATTGAAGCTCGTACCAAGTCATCATATTCTTTAATAAAAGCACCAGTTTTATCTAAAAATAAAAATCATGTGAATGTTGATTTAAATTCAATCTCTAAAAATTCTCTAAAAGTGAAAAATGTTTATATTAAAACGCCTCCTCAAGGTTTAGAAAGAGCATTTTATGAATTACTTACACATGAAGCAGTTGAATTTTTAGCTGACCTTGTGATCAAGTTTGATGAAGATGTAAACAGTCTATACAATCATAGACTTCAAAGGAAAGCTGAGCAAAGAATTAATCAAAAAATTCCATCATTTTCTAAACTACAAGTTGAAGATGACAACTGGGAAGTTGCTCCTGTTAATAATCGGCTGAGAAATCGACATTTAGACCTTGGAGATGTAAGTCCCAGCAATTTAGATCATTTTTCTGCTGCTTTATGTGCTAATGTCCAAGGAATTCAAGTGGACTTTGATGATGGCCATTGTCCTAATTGGTTTAACCAAATTTATGGACTTCACAATGTTTTTAAAGCTGTTCATAATCAATTGGACAATGTTCCAGAGATTTCTGCTGCTCCGATTCTTATGTTACGACCACGAGCTTGGAATATGATTGAAAAAAATGTTCATATAAATGGAAAATATATTCCAGGACCTCTTTTTGATTTTGCTTTATTAATGTTTCATACTGGAAAAATTCTCTACAAATGTGGTTGTGGTCCTTGCTTTTATCTTTCGAAACTTGAAAGCTCTGATGAAGCTAAGTTATGGAATAATATTTTCTCTTGGAGTGAAGAAAGACTTGGAATACCATATGGTTCCATCAAAGCCTGTGTTTTAATTGAAAATATTTTAGCAAGTTTTGAAGTAGAGAATATTTTGTATCAATTAAAAGATCATTCTTTGGGACTCAATTGTGGAATTTGGGATTATGCAGCATCAATTATCGCAAAATTTGGAGATAAAAAATCTTTTGTGCTCCCTGATAGGAATAAATATGTGAATATGGACAAGAGATTTTTGAAGAAATATTTACAATTGGTTGTTAAAGTCTGTCATAAGAGAGGAGCTTATGCCACGGGAGGAATGGCTGCTCAATTATTACCTCCAGACTCAAACTCTGAGTCATACAAAATTATTCTTCAAAAGGTCTGTGAGGCTAAAATCAAAGAAATTCAAGAAGGTGTCGATGGTTTTATGGTTTACGATTTGAACTTAGTTCCATTTATGAACAATTTATGGAAAAAATTTCCAAAAGTTCCAGGACTTAATCAAATAAGTTATCCTGGAACACCAGAAGAAATTACAGAAAAAGATTTATTGAGTCTTCCTGAAGGAGGTGTAACCATTAAAGGATTGGAACATAATATTAAAGTTGCTATTCTTTTCATTTATAATTGGTTCAATGGAAGAGGACACTTTATCATCGATGGATCTATTGAAGATTCCGCAACAGCAGAGATATCAAGATCACAAATTTGGCAATGGATTCGGCATGCTGCAAAATTGGAAGACTACCACAACGATAATCATGACACTGTAACAAGTCAGTTAGTGGATATTTTAACCGAAAAAATAGTGAATGATTTGGTTAAAACATACTCCACAAACCTATTTGTAGATAGGATAAGGAAGCTTGTGATGGCTAAACATGTGTTTATAGATATTGTAAATTGTCGTGACTTTCCGGACTTTATTACCACCTATGTCTATGATATATATCCGTTCAGCAATTTACTATCTCATTTGTAAAATCAATATATTATTTATATAAATAATTAATTTTAAAAAAAATCTTTTTTTTATTTCTCAAACATTATTCATTTATTTGTATTTTTTGAACATTTTTATATGAAATATTAGTCTTTCCTTACCTTGAGTATGTAGATATTACTTCTGTATTGATGAATTCATATAATAAAACAATTTTTAATTATATAACCATTGAACTTATGTAAAAAAAGAAATAACTGGTATACTGCTTCAAGAATGGTAAGAAAAGAAATGTTACTCCAGAAAATTACTGTGTAAATCCGAAGGAAATTGAGTCTTGCCATGAATTAAAAAACTCACAATTATGTAAATAAGGAATTTATTAATATTATTTTAAGCTACCAGAGCACTGGCAGTTGCGCTTTCATACTTCCACGTGGGTGGAAGTGAGCCTTTAGACTTGTAATATCTAGCAAGTCTATGGATTCTTGATTCTACTAAAATCAATCTGAACTTGCTATCCTTGTCTTTACGATTACGTTCCAAGTGTTTACGAATAGCAACGGCCTTTTTGATTAAGTAATATAGATCCTCTGGTAGATCTGGAGCAAGTCCCATACTTTTAACAATTCGTAGAATTTTATTTCCAGTGCGGAAACGTACTTGACCGACACCATGTGAGTCACGAAGAATAACACCTGGAAATTGATTTAATTATCAATTATCTCATTGACATTGTAATATATACTAATATGTTATGAATCATTGTAAATTATATTTAGTAACACATGACGTTCTTTAAATGAGTATTACTCTTTACATTACGAATGTAATAATTAACAAAATGTTCTTGGTTATCTATAGCAAATTGTTTTGAAAAAATAACAAATTTGCCTCAAACGCCAATGGATTAATATTGCAAGCAATCAAATGAACTGAAGATTAATATATAAATATTGATATTCAGCTGGTAGCTTGCTTTTATAAGAGCCACAAATAATAGTTTTAAAGATAAATGTATTTGTTTTTTAGAAATGATCTAAATAATAATTATAATAAATTATAAATTACCAATTTGAGATGGTGTGAATCCTTTTTTGGCAAATTTGTAAATCAATTCTTTACAATCTTCTGGAGTAAGCTTCAACCAAGTTGGTACGCTCCGTCGGTATGGGAGTGCCGATTGGGATATACCCTTTCTGAAATGAATAAACACAAATCAATTATACATCATTCAATGTACAAATCCATTCATTATTAAGTAAATGTAAGTTAACAATACAGAATGAAAAGTACTTTTATACATAATTATAAAAATGCGATATTATTCCGGTGTTTATGTACGTCAGCACATGGTTTAAAAGGTTAGGATATAAAGATTGTAGATGAGTTATCAGTAGCCCTTTAAAAACTCTACACAACAACTTAAAAATATTATTTATAATAAAAATTAAGACTTTTTCGATAAATGGCAGTGATTTAATCCGAATAAATATGTTATTTTACATACCCAGGTGCGTGCATACGACCCATGGCGTTGATTCTCTTTGACTTGCAGCGAGAAAAGACAAAGACAGAGACGGAAATGAGAGAAATGAAAAAAAAACATGGCGGCACAACAGTCAGCGCCATCTTCTATTTCCTTTATGATCATATTGCGCTGAACAAGTACATTGTTTACAATCAATTTTATCGTTAAACAATTGTTTAAATAATATTTTAATTATTAATAAAAACAAAAGTTAACCTATAAAGTATTCTTTGAAAACAATGAGACATTATTATATATATTTATATAGAGTATTTGTTCAAAATTGTGTGAGATTTTAAATTTATCATTTACCCGCCAAAATAATCAAATCGAATTTTACTCCAATAAAACAACGATCAGAAAAGATCTTATTCATCAATTTATAATCTGTTGTATGCCGTTGTGCGCAGTTGAAAGTGGTTGTTCGAACATTACGTTCACGCGTGATAGTATTACTTTTTAATTATTTTATACGAATTGTAATCAAAATCATTTAAAATGATGTCAAAAATAATTATATTAGTTTTTACAATAGTTCTTTGTAACTCAATTGTATCTGGTAAGATTTTTATCTTTTTTTTTTAGAATTTTAACAACAAAGACATAATCATTGTCATCATGAATTTAGAATAATTTACAATTAATAATATACAATGAATATAAAAATTCAATTGTATTGAAATGAAAAGCTAAGAATAATTTTTATATAGACTTCTACGAAATGAAATGGCCGTAGTGAGTTTTCTCATCTGCGTAAACTCAAGGTTGTTTCTGTTCATTCGTTGAATTGAAGATTATTTAAATAAACGAATCTTCGATAATCATAAATGTATGTTATGTGCATATATCCGGCCAACCAAATAATCAGTAATGATTACAGCAATGAAAAATGATTGTATCTTTTTTTATTCATTGATAATTCTATCAATGATTAGTTAAACAAGTAATAATTTTTATCACGTGCTAATCACACACTAATGTTTGTTTCTTTCTTTATTGCAGCGGACAAGTGTCCTAGTAACAATTTCGTGGACAACTTAGTTTCATATTGTCCTGGGATTCCACAAATTTTTGATTCATCTCCAAAATCTTATTGTTGCTTAGATGTGGAAAATAAATACTACTGCTGTGATGCTCAAGAATATACTTTAAACACAGGGTTTGACTAATTATTTATTTATTTATTTATTTATTTATTTATAATAATTATAAAACAATGTTAAAAAAATTTTCTAAAGGTTTTTATTGTCTTTTATTGATAAATAACAAGACTCAAAGCTAGTAAAACCCAAAATAATCATTAATTTTTTTAAATTTGCAGATTTAAGATTATTCTTCCGGCGATCATCGGAGTACTGGTCGTAGTGACACTTTTTGTCTTTTGCATCACATGTTTATGCTGTAGTTGCTGCCCATGGTACAAAAGACGTCATCGTGGAACAGTTTATGGAAGTGAGTAAAATGATATTCTTAGCTTTCTGCTTATAACTGGATTTTTTTTTTATTAAACTATGTAATAATAACGATAAATTTCATCACTTTATCTGTCTCTTTGTCTCTTAAAAATATCTGTCTATTAACAAAAATTTCTAAATGTTCTTCTTATTATTTTTAAATTCTCATTTCAATATAAAAACATCACCGATTATGACTTCCTCGTAATTCAGTCCGTAGACCAAAATTATTTATTAGTTTAATTTAAAAAATTAATCTATCAGACTGATTAGATATTCTTTTCCAGGACCTGGTTCGGTCTAGAAGCTACACAACGAAATTCTGTAATAGGATGATATATATTCGTAACAAAAGCATCCTATTTAGATTAGTGTTCTCTTGAAACTGTTTTGAAATGTGTGGTAATGACATAATTTATATTGTGACAAAGCGTCATTACTAATAGCTTTTATATATACATACATATATATATACTATTTAATATATCTGGCTTTTGAGCTTCAGCTTCTTAGCTTTAAAATAACTGATAATTCTTCAAAGCTGGCCTTTTGAGTTTTTTTTCTCTTTATCGATGTTTTTTTTTTTTAACATATACATTGGCTGCTAAAGCAAAACAATCTTCAACGTAACTTCAAATGCTTATAATTCATAAGCAAAAAATTCCGAAATAATTTATAAAGTATTGGAAAAAAAGTTATAAGATGATTTATCATGTTTTTTTTTTGTTTTTTTTTCAAATAACGAAGTTTTCTGAGAAAATTTGATTAATCAATTTTTGTTCCGGTGATAAATTATCAATTTTCAAAAAGTCACTGAATTATTTCTGTATTTCAATAAATGATAATTGACAAGCTTATTCGGTTTTGATGAATAAAAATAATTAAATACAATTACTCAGTGATACTGGAAATTTTCAAAATATTAAAAAATTATCTTTAATTTTACTAAAGGAGTAAACAATAGTTTTTTGTTCTTATGAGATAAATCATTATACTCTGATGATGATAGAGAGTGTCCATGATGATAATTCATTACCGTATAGTGAAGAAATGATTTCAATTTAGTAATTATTTCTAACAATGAGGATACAGCTGTTGGCCCTAGTATTGACCTTTTCATAATACGTAATATTTATTGTTGTAGCCAAAATATTGATTGGTCATTTATGGCAATACGTTAACTTCCATTATTAATGTAAACAGTTAATTTTTACTATTTCAATATTCTTCATATTTTTTTGTATCCCATTTACTGACAGAGACTATATTTATCGAGCCTTCCATAGTATTAAAATGTAAAATAAATACTTAGATTAAAAATCAATAAGAAAAATATTGTACACATGAATGTCATGAGTCTGCAAGATGTCAAAATAAGATAAATAGAAAATACATTTTCGATACTTGAGATTTTGTATGGTGCCAGTGATATTATTATTATATTTTTTGATAATTGATCGGTAATTGAATGTTTTATTTAATGTAATTATTTCATGATGAGTATGTGAATTTTTTTCTTTTATTCTAAAATACAATAAAGAAATTGATAAGATAAAGATACGTACTATTGTAGTACGATAAGTTCAACATTGTTTCCGCTTCATTTAATATTTTATATAAAACATTTAAAAGAAAACCAAGACTTTTGATTTAAGAATTAAATCTCAATTGATTGTAAAAATTCTCAGATACTGAATTTGGTTATTATCTGATAATAATTGATAGTAATTACTGAAAAACACTTGCAGACTTATGTAATATCAAAACTTGATCTGAACAACACACAATACTGTACATTGTTGTACTTAAATGCATATTTTTAGAATTTTTTTACATAAATTTATGTCAACACTCATAAACATTCCATTTATAGATATATTTTTAACGCTTTTGTATTTGATTTTTCAATAAACACTTGATGATAAATAATACAAAAATAGTTATATACTTCATTTTATAAACCATTCCCATCATTACATGTCCAGTACTTTTGTTTCATTTTTCATTTCATCATTATGAGAAATTAATTAAAATTTATTTGTAATTAAAAAAACATAAATCGTCCATGCAAGAATATACATTTTATCAGCTAAGCTACTTCTTGTTCTTTTATGATTATTTCTACAATAATAAAAATTTTATTCTTTGCTAACTCAATAAAACGTAGACTTCAAAGACAAATTAAGATAAATAATTAATTATTAATTAATTAATAAAATATATATTTAAAACAAAAAGATTGTTGAGAAATTTTTACAAATAATTAATAACTTATTTATTCTATGATGAAAAAAGATATAAACACCGGTATTTTTTTCAGAAGTTCATACACCAGGTGTTATTATACATCCAGGCACTGCTCCAATACCAAACCAATCTGCTCAAATGCCTCATCAACCATACGTAGTTCATACAGGTAAAGAAAAATAAAACAAAACAATTCATGAATAAATATTAAATGATAGTATTCTTATTCCTTATTCATAACTTTGCAAATAATTAATACAATCAATCATTTCTTTTATTCTAGAACCTTCAATGCAATATCCGAGTCAACCACCACCTTATACAGTCGAACCTTATGCTCAACAAGCATCATATAACCCAAATTTCCCCCAGTAGGATTTATCATCAGTATTCTTCAACGTAACTGTTTGTTCGTGTGTTGGTCTTGCTGTGAATCATCTATTATCGGATAATAAATCACTTCCATTAAAGACTATCGGGAGCAATGTGCGCTGATAATACATATAATACTCCAGTATGTGACCGAAATAAGTCTATCAGTCTCCAGTGTTTCCACTGAACTGCTCCATCCTGACTATTATCTTAAGAGGAAATGACGTGATGTTGAATGACGCATAAAATTATTTTTTTGTATAATAATACTTGGATATTTTTTCATGAATTTTTAATTAAATAAATATAGACAAAATACTAGTGACTTACAGTCATTAGTTTACTATATAATTTGAAAAAAAAAAAAAACTAAAAAATAAGAAAAAAATATTAGGCCTAATTTTTTTTAATCAATTTTAAAATTTCTCTCGTAAAAATAAATTAATTTTTAATGACTTGATGTCATTACCATTAAATGAAGTGTCGTTGTATTTACAAAGATACTTATTTATCTTAAAATTTCATTTTCATTTCAATAAATAAATTTATTAGTCTTCCGAATTGATAAATATAAATAAAAATTCCAGACTATAGATTCCATTTATTGCATTTTTTTTATTTAAAACTATAAAATTATTGTATATTATTTTTACGAATATTTGTAACTTATGTTTTGTTCATTTAATCACATTTTGAGAGAACAAGAGGCTTAATAAAAAAAAAAAAATATTCACTTTAAATAATTTAATTGAAGCTCAATTAATTGTCTTTTATTTATTAAAACAATTTTTTCTTTTCAATAAAATATAATACTATCTTTATAAGGATTCTTTTCTAATATATATAAACTATCGTAATTTATATTTAAGATGTAAAAAATTAAATCAATTTTTGAATAAATTATGTGAAAATATTCAATTTATATTATAAATATTAAATACTCATTAGTACTGTTAAAATCAATTTTGTTTTTACATAATATATCCCGAGAATCATTTCTGTTCAATGATTCATCAGTTTATTTGAATATGGGATTAACAATTCGACAATAGTCATTTATTAATATTATTATTAATTAATGCTATTATTTGGTGAAACTAGTGAGCATTAATATATTAAATCAGTGTAAATTGCAAAAAATCACATTCCATTCTAGACACTTCAAAAGTATTTAATTGATCATTATTACTGCTAAAAAATATTAACAATCCCATTCGTTTTGTTAATTAAATGTTTTTTTTTAATTTTTTTTCAACATTCATTTGTTTTTTCCTACAAACATAGCTACCAATCATTCATTATTTTATCTTCACATTATTGATAATCTGATGATCTAAAATTTTCATTGATATATGCAACCCTGTCCAATGATTAAAAAAAAATATTATTATCAAAAGAACCAACTTGAATTACTGCGGATAGATAAAAATCATCTTTAAAACGGTTAAATGCATCATAACCAGAGTAAAGGTCAATTCTTTTCTGCTGTTTGTGGATCAGCGCATTAAATTCTGAACTGTCGAAGACATTGTCTTATATTATTGCCATAATACAAAGTCAGGGACACTTATATATTTATACACTATTGAGTATTGTTATTATTATAATACAATAAACTGTTTAACTGATTAATTATTTTAATCTTCATGGCCATTCAAATGAAAAGGTTTAAATGAATTTTTGATTATTTTCTTTGAATCTATGGATTTAAAATGTTGATTTGTTTATCTCAATAATCTACAGTCATATTTTGATTATCAAATTATTCTCATAAGAAATTTCAATTAAATCGATAAGAAAATACTCTCTAATAATTAAAATTATCTGCTTTTTTTTTTTCGAATAAATTATTGACAAAAACATTCTTTTGTTGGAACAAAAAAATTTATATATATATTTATAATAATTGTATTTCTATAAATTCAATATCAGTTCATTTATATATTAAATTAGATTTTATAATTTTATATTCTATATCAAGAAAAAATAGTTACCTGTATTCGATTTCTAATTGCATTTATTATGAGTACCTTTCCCATATTTTTCAATAGAAAATTATTACATTCAGTATCACTAAGAAATTAAAATTAATTTATTTTGTATAAAATTGTGATTAAAATTGCTATCAGAATTAATCCAGTTATTGAATGACTCTCAGTGATTGCAATAAATTGATACTATCTACCATCTACAATAGAGAAAAATATTAATTCCATTTGAAGACTTCAGAGATGATTATTTTGTTTAAAAAAGATAATTTAAATCATTTAATCAGACAGTTTATTGTTATCTAGTCCTATGGAAAGGTATTGTCCATGAACTTGATAATAAATTGAGCAATGGTAAAGTAGACCCTGAGTCAGTATAAAAATCTCACCATTGTCAAATTACTACTAAAAATGTAGGAATAACAATATTTTTACGAAATTACACAGCTCTGTTGCGCTGAGTCATTTGAACTATTTATATTACCTAAACTACCGCGAAAATTGGACTCGTCGTGACCGGAGAAAGAATCGTTTATTCTTTCTTCATCCAAAGTAGCGGTTGTAGATGCATGGCTGGCTGATGATCGTCTCGACCGTGAAATATTTCCACGTTGGTTGTTTCCGAATGAAGGAGCTGGACTTGGAGACGGAGTATCTGGTGTTTCTGGTTCGTGTTGATTCTGTTGTTGCAGTTGTTGTTTCACAACAATCAACCGATTGAGTGAGGACGTTTGATTTTGAATACCAGATACAAAAGCTCGGTATCCAAGACTACAAATAAAATATTCTTATAAAATAAATAATACAAAATTAAATAACTAAAATTAATGACAATAAATAAATTTACCATTCTGAATGAGACCATTTAGTTAGAGTTAGAATTCCATCACGAAGATTAATAACAGAGTCTAACGTTTGCATAGGAGCGTGTGCTGCTCTAACAATTCTTGCCATCACTGAAGCGTCTCTAAGTATAGTTGTTAAAACTGCAGCCCATCCAAGACAACCAGCTTCTAAGAACAGCTGGAGAAGATACCTTAATTGTACTTCTGCTCGACTACTTGGCCCGGAAATAGTCGTCGAATGAACCTCAGGTGGTTCTAGATGATCAGCAATCCAACAAGTTCCGACAATTGACTCAACATCGTCACGCCAATTAGTACTGGCATCACTTGTAACACTTGTCGTTTCTTGAAGTATTCTTGAAGTCAATTTAGCTTCAGCTACAGGAAACTGAGTTTCTAAACTTGCCACTGGAGACACTATACTTGCATAAAGTGGTCTGGTGCTTGGTAAACTCGTGTATCCACTGTCTGGAGGTAAATCTGTATTGATATTCGAGTTTAGAACCATTAAAGATTGAGGTTCATTTTCAGGAGATTCTAGACTTATTGATTTTGATAATTCTAAAGGCGACCTCAAAGACATATGACTGTCTCTTCTTAATTTTTGAAGATGAGAAAGTGATACTGTTGGGTAGGGGAAACAAAAATCTTCATGTACTGCTTTCAAAGCCACAGCAAAGTCATCAATTCTTGCAGCTCGTTCCCGTTCTCTTCCCAACCAAGTAACTAAGTGAAAATCTAATTTAGCAGCAAAGTGACCCAAGTCTGCTAATCTTCTAGCCGTCAATAAACGTCTAGCATGTCTCTGAAGAATTACATCAATGAAAAATTCCTCCGCTGATGCTTCTTTATTATCACTTCTTTCAGTTTTAACACTAGGAACGGATTTTTTTCGTCTCATCACTGCGTTTCTCGTTTTTTCTAACATCGAAGAAGGTGGATCTTTGACTGTATTATCATGTTGAACTTTGGGAGTCACTGTAGTACTATAACTTCGACTTCGAGACACTTGCATGGTCCCTAATACTAAGGAGAGATCTTCTTCAGGAGAAACTGATGGTGTTGATGGAGGTCCAGCTAATTTTCCAGTTCCACCCCACGAAGTTCTTGGAGATTCAACATCATTTGGATCTATAGCTCGTAAAAAGCGAACTAGATCTCGTGATAATTCCCAACGACCTTGTTCCAATGCGGCATCAAGCAAAAGTGTTGCATGCTGCCGACTCACTGCAGATGGTTCCAAATTTTGTAAGATAATTAAGTAACTAGCTGCTGTATCTAATTGCTGTCGTTTCAAACAGTCTTGAAGAAGTTTTTTCGGCGATCCAGCAACAGAAAAAAGATAAGGCCACAAAGCAATTTCAGTTTTTCTTGCACACTGGACTACCGCTCGAGCCCAGACTCCAGGAAATTCACGGATAAATTCAACGACACTTGGAAGTTGAGCATCTGGAAGAGGTTCTTTACTGGTCGCCTCTTCCTCAAGAACTTCGTGAAGTAATAATTCTAGGGAATGTGAAAAGTACGGAAGAGAAACACACGATCTAGCTATTTCCCAAGCATGGTAGCCAAGATTTCTGTGAATGAGCTGCCGTAGTATTTGATGAAGATATACTTGACTTGTTAATTCAAGTAGACTAAAAGGCAGTGAAAACGGCGAGTTTGCATCAGACGTGTATAAGATAGTATCATTTTCAGCTCCAAGAATGATTGCGTCTTCAAATAAAATTGCTAGAGGATAAATTTTTAGATGGAATGGTAACATTATTCTTTTACTCATAAATGTATGAGCACTTTCTTGATGATTTCGTGGAAATAACGGTAACCATACTCGCATTCCATGGGCACCACAAAAAAGCCAAAGAGCTTCAGTTAGATGTGGCTTATCTCTTCGAGATCTCCAAGGTACCCATACGTTTTCCACGCAAGATGCAAGAACATTAGGCGCTCCACAGGTGAATAACTAAAAAAGATTAATTCCCAAGTTATTTTTAACAATTTCAAAATTATTAAAAATTGTTGAAAATACTTACAAGATCTGGATTATCAGTACAATGTTCTCTTTGTACCATCAAAAGTCTTCCAGATACATTAAGCAGTAGACTTTCAGGATGTGGATGACTTCCCGCAGTTTCAGCTCTAATTGTTGTTAAAGTAGCACTAACAACACAAGCAGGATGTACACAAAGTCCACTGATATCAACAATCTGAGTTCTAGTAAGTTCAAGACTTCCAGAGCCTTCAATACCTTCCAACTTCATATCAAAAATACTGACTTGAGCATTTGCACAAAAAGTTAGCAACCTTTCTTTCATGGTATTGAGCAGAAGAACTTGTGATGGCATTCGAACAGTCCTGACATAATTATTGTCTAATCGGGTGTCTTTAGGATATATTCTAATTTCATCTTTGTCTTCTAAAATTGAATAACTACTAGCAATGACGAATCCTCGATGCCACAAGAGGCCACCAGTGACAATAAAGTCCCTCTCCTGAGTTTCATTACCAAAAAGTTTCCACTTTCTTGTTAATAAAGAATAATGTGCTAGCCCAGTTCTACCAGCCACAGCGATGCTTTGTCCTTCATTATCTATTGCAGTATACTATAAATGCTGTTTAGAGTATCGTAACAAAAATATTGAGAGAAAAGTAATTAACTCACTCTAATTGGCCAATTAGAGCCACTGTAACTGCTAGGGATGGGAACAACAAGCCATTGTTTCGATCCAGCGATGGTTTGTGATATGGTGTTGTCATTTGGAATTTCATTTGTTAAATGATATCCTGGTACATCGGCCGTAATACCACCTAGATTCAGGTACAGACGGTCTTCCCCTTGAAGATATAAGTGTCCATGATGGCCCTGAAAATTTTATCATCTTAATAAATTATTTTATATAATAATTAATAAATAAAAAGCATGAAAATTACCATGCAAGGATTGACAGTAAGAGGACTCTTTACAAAATCTAATTGAATTAAAGAACGTTCATTTTTAGAAAGCTCATTTCCATTTTCTTCGTTGTGTAAAGGAAGGTTTGGAGATTCTCGTAGCATCCACAATTGATAGCCTTCAGCAGACCATTCCTAGAATTAATATTCAATGTATTAAAGGCTTAGAAACATATGGCAATGCGTAATAAAGTAATAATTACCATTGTGAGAATGTGCAAAGGATTATCTCGTGTAAGATCTACATGTAATCCATAATCCCATTTAAGAGTACACAATAAAAGTGCTCCAAACGTACTCCAAATAGCTAAACCTCCAGTATCCCACGCTAAAGCTATTGCACAACTGTCAGGAGTCCATCTTAAACATTTCACCCGTCCTGGTTTCCCAGGATAATCTTTGGATGATAAACTTAATGTATGAGACACTTCCAAACCGCCTGTTGACTCATCAACATAATATACAACACCTTCAGCATTCTCTCGACCAAATGCAATTAATCTGTATTTGTGATTTACAGCAGCACATGTAGCATCATCTAAATACCTTGCCCAAATACCTTGTACTTGATTTGGATCAAATTTCAATGACTGAGCTGTCAAAAAGGCAGCTTTTCCGTTGCTTAAAACAACAGCAAAGCCTCCAACTAGTGGTGAATATTCAATATCTGTTACATAAACATTATTTTCTGTTATTGGCACTGCAACGGTTGAAATTTGTTGATCAATACTAAATGGTATTCTTTGAAGATCTAAAGAATAATCACGATTTACAGTTCCTTCCCATCGTTGTCTCATTATATGACGTGTTCTTGTAGCTACCATCAGTTCATCTCTTATACAAACTAATGAACTTATTCCTCCGTCTATCCATACAGGCATTACAAATGTTATTACTAATGAAGGAATGACTTCTTTGATGAAAAGCTCAGCACTGTCACGTTTTAAACTTGTTACCGGAGAATCTTTTAGCTCATATAAACCTCGATTATCATTTCCGCTCTCCATTATTCGATAAAATAATAAATAACTATCAGAAGTCTGCAAAAATAATTAAAAAGTTAATGATTACTTGTAAATAAATAATTAAATTTACGAGCTATCAGATTATATAATATAATTGTTTTGAAATAATTGATGCTATTTTGCGAGTAATCAAGAATTCTTTTACAATTCCGAGTACGTGTCTGTGAATTTTTATCTGTTGTCTATTTTTATACTTTATGTTTGATGGTATAACTGTGTACTTACTGCTATCGTTAGCATAGTAGAATCTGGTTTCCATTGAACCAAGATGTTATCTCCATATTTCCTTAAAGAATCTTTGGTCCGTCTGTTGAAAACAATTGGCACACATGGCTGAAATGATAAATTATTATTAGAAAATGATGTATTAAAAGAGATAAAATATCAATTATTTAATTAAATTTTTAACTTGACGTATTTTTTTAAAAGTTTACAAACAGGAATGGAATCAAATTACTATGGATATCTATAGCAAATAAAAGAAATTGATATTGGAGTTCAATAGTAAAAGTTGAAGTGGAAGATACGAAAGTTAATAACCTATATACATGAATTTATTGTTTAGAAAGTTGAAAGTTTATCACCATAATAAATAAAAATGTGTAACTACCTTGCAATACCATATTTCGAGAGTATCTTTTGTTAAAAGAGCAAATAAAATTTTATCCCTATTGCACACTATTGCATTTATTTCTTCAGGTTCTGTAGGGTTCAAAACCCTGGGCCAACCGATTGGAAAAAACATGATTTCTTTACAATTATAAGCAAAAATTACAATCACATGATGTGTCGAGGATCTTTTAAATATAAAAACAACTCCAAAAATATCTAAATTTTTTCGTGATTCATTTTAATAGAGTAATCAGTATAAACTGTTAAAGGTTATAATTATTACTAAATGTCTGTTAATGTACTTGAATAAAACTAATTAAATTTTCTAAACGACACGAAGGAGAAATCGACAACACAACTTTAAAATGGCGAATGATACTACTACTGCCACCGCATATGTGGAACACATAACAATTTAAAATTCCTGATTATTTACAAACACTTTTTTGCTCTGAATTCTACATTTCAAGAGTTAGCAATAAATAACTACATACATCTTTTAAATTATGTAGTATTTGTTTGATTAAATAATTTTAAATATCCAAAACGAATAATAATTCTTTTATTAATAATTGAAATTTTGATAATAATAAAAGTAATAAAATAACAAAGTGATATTATTGTCAAGTTATTTTATTATCTGGTCTGAGAAGACTCATAAATATCTAATTTAAACGATGATAGTAAATATTATTATTCATATTCAAAATAGTTACTAGTAATCGGTAAAATCAGAAGGAAACTACACCCTAATTCTGGCATACTTTTCTGCGAATTAGTCATAACCTAAAAATATCATGTCAGAGTAATGTTTCAATGTAAACGCCAAATGTAAACAAATAGTTTGTTTAAAGAATAAAATTAATTAGCATTGAATAAAATGGCATCTCCAGCAACTTTTAATGCTGAAACTGCCAAAGGTATTGAAATTAAAATGGATTTATAAATTAAATTCTTTATATTAAATATGTAATAATTATAATTATTTTTTAGCTGCTCTCACAGACGTTTTATCAGCTCTCAATACTCCAGAAAATATACAAAAGCTCAATGAAGCTAAGGAAAGTTCAGGGAATGAAATGCTTAAAATGATGCAATTTGTTTTTCCAATAGTGACGCAAATTCAAATGGATGTAATTAAGAATTATGGTTTCACAGAAGGGAGAGAAGGAACAATACAATTTGCACAATTCATTAGAACATTGGAGCGTGAAGATCCAGAAATTGCAAGGCTCCATAATAAAGTGAGATCATATTATTTACCTCCAGTAGCAAGTAGCCCTTCTGCTGAAACTTCGCTTTAAACATATAAACATAATGTTATTAAAATTCAATACTGCCATTTTATGATTAGTGTTCTCAAATAATTACTCAAGTATCAATAGTTAAAATTTAAATAATTCAAGTCATAACAGTTTTAAATAAATAGAGTTGCGATCTAAATGAGATTAAATTAAAATATAACTTATTAAGTTAAGTATATAAAATTTCAAATGTTTATTTATGATTTCATGATGTGCAATTTATCTGAGAATATATATATATACGTCGTTTTATTTACAAAAAAATTAATAAATTTTATAAGCATATGAATTATTTTTTTAAATATTTTATTCTTAGTCTTACATATAAAATGTAAATCATACGGCAACTTTTAAAACTTATTTTCAAGTCTTACGATCAATGAAATATTGAATAAAATCGAACTTCATTCTGACTTATTTATTTTTACAAGACATAAAAATGCAACGTTTATCAATCAAGTGCATCCAAAAATTGGAAATTAGCACAAAATACACAGTATAATAAATATTTTCATTAATTCTCTATATAATACCATAATAATCATTATTATAATTATAATAAATACTTCTCATAACATAATAATTATTTAATAATAAAAGAAACTGAAAATTTAATAGCCATTGATATAATTATTGAAACCATTATAATGCTATGATTAATCTACAAAAATATATTTCATTAAAGAATTTGCTGAAATTTCATTTCATTTTCATAGCGAATTGCATTAAGCGTTAACTTTTAGCTCATTACTATCGCTTATATCTACAATATTCATCAAATAAATATAAATAAAATTCATTATTCAAATTTGTTTATATAATAGGTCCATTGGTGTAAAATTGTCATATGAAAATGTTTATTATTTATTATTGTTTCATTGGTTGCTGATGTATTTTTATGAATGAAACAAAAAAACTACAAGTGAATTAAACCACTAGATATTCCTATAAAAATAGAAAAAAAATACATTGAAAATTTGTACATTTGTTTACTATCAAACCAGTAATCAGTAATGACGTTGATAATTTTTACAAATTATCATGAATTATTCATAATAGTAAATTGTGTACAATTCATTCACAATTATTGAATTATATCCAATAATTATTGTAATAATAATTAGGAAGAAATTGTTCAAAAAAATGTAGTAAGTTGTAGAAATGTTTATATTGAAATTAAAGCTATTTAGTGTAACATGATATTGATTACATTAATTTGGAAAATTAATATAAAATATATTAATAATTGTTTGCTGAAAAAAAAAAATATTTTTATTTGGACTCTTTGATTGTAAATAAATGAATAAAAATATTAAATTGGTATATGTGTATATGATAAAATGTACAGTGTTCATAATACCATCTTGATTAACTTGATGTTAGTAATACATATTCTAATATTTGATCATCGTTCATATGATGAAAGAAATACCCCCATGATTATATACAATTACGTTCACTTATTCACTAACCCTACATAATTATTTATTTTAGTATAAATTAAAAAAATATCAGCAGAAATTATCATCATTGTCTTAATTAACCAGCAAAAAAATCGTATCGATCATTACATTGATAAAGCATTTTTATTATTATTATTATTATTATTATTATTATTATTATTATTATTATTATTAGTTTAATTTTTTACATACTTTCATAATAATTTGCTGTTAAGCTTGAAGCAACTATATATCTTTTCTTTGACAAAATTCTAATAAACCTGCATTATCAGATGAAAAATAAATGATTTATCAAATAACACCAAAGGACCTATAAATTTTATTCTTTGATTGAATTAATCTTGTTTTCAATAAACAAATATGATCAGTAAATTTATAAAAAATTTTTTTTGCGAATTAAACCCTGTTTGATTTAACACATTATAATTTTTATATTACCTAATTGAATAATTAAATAAATAATAATAAAAAATTACAATTTATTTATGTATAAATTTTTTATGAATATCAAAAGAATGGATCTACCATTGTTACGTAATTTACAAATTGTTCAGTTATTTTTATGAAATTGAATTATTTAATTGTTTCAATTATCGAGCGTAAAGATTTTCGAATCAATACCTTATACATGAAAAATATACTATATTCGAGAAGAGCGTGTATAAAATCTAATTTATTCTCGAGTAAATGTAATTTTTTTCCGTTCAATTATTTGATATTAAGATCTATGATTATTGTTGATCATCATATTACTTTTTTAATAATTAATTTTAATGTGAAGAAGGAAATGAATGTATACGTCAACTCGACAAAAGTATACAGTCGATTTTCGTTTTTAAACTTTAATTTTTTATGATTTGAATTTCGGAATTTATATTATACAGAATTATTATTTAAGAATTATTCGTTTTTTTTTATTTTACCTTTTTATTGTAATTCTAGTTGTAATTTAATATTCCGTTTTATTTTATTGTTATTTCATAAATGTTCTTTTGATCTATTTTTTTTTTTTTATTTAATAAATTGTTTTAAATAATTGTTGTTACTATTTTTGTTGATTTATCTCATGTATTAATCAGCTACGAAAGGAATGGATTGGCTGTAGTTGATGCAGCTCCATTTCCTGTCCAAGGTTCCTGTCGAATCTGATTGATTGAAGGACGTGGTGGTGGTGGTGTTACAGTTGCAAATGGATTAGCAGCATAAGCTGAAAAATTAGAATAGTTTTATGATTTATTTACTTAAAACCAAATCAGAAATATTATAAATATGCAAATTAGTCATTTTTCACTAATAAAGTTAATGTTATTTCCAATCGTATTGAAAACATACATGCATTTTATACGCTTTAAATATTAGTTAAATATTTATTAACCATATAAATATATTTTTGATCATGTAGACATGCGTTGAACACCCATACCATGCGTTGCAATAATGTTGAATCCCATAAATACTTACGGGAGTTACTTCCATCGAAATGCTATTTTACGAAAATTATTTTTTAATAGTAATATAAGTTGAAAAATTTGGAATATATAAAAAAAAAACTAAATAACAGTTAATTGTTAAACATAGGAAGATAAAGTAGTTTCCAATGAGTTGATTGAAATTCATTGACTCTATTCGCTTGAATGAAACAAAAAATAATGGACATAGTATACTAGCTGTTGAACGCATTTAACTAAGTAATATAAGATAATGAAGTACAATAAATGAATTATGAAATGCTTGTGAATGATTTATAATGTTTTATATAATGATTAATTACAGTTAGTTATTGTCAGACATTATAAAAAAAAATATTCTTTAACAGTTAAAAATTTACCAGTTGTTGGAGCAGCAGGAGCTTTGATTGTTGATGTGCTCACGAGATTGTCAAGATTGACAAGGGCAGAGTTCTCTCCAAGAAATGATTGTGGTGTTTTTTTAACAGCACCTGTACTTTGAGATGGTAAATTATCATTCAAAGTTCCAAGATCAAATGGATCTGGTGACATTGTACCACCTAAAATAGATACAAACATTATTTATCCAATTTAAAATAAATGAAATGATCATAAAATATATTTATAAATAATTTATATACCATTATTAATTGGTTGAGGGCTTGCACCAATTTTATTTCTATTGGTAATAATATCAAATTCATCTAAATCACCGGGAGAACTTGCAGAAGCATTTCCTTGGGTTTGAGTATTAAAATTATTAAAAGTACTCCCAGAATTTCCAAATCCATTGGTGTTGCTACTAAATCCAGTTGCATTGACGTTGAAACCAATATTTTGTGGTGATTGTGCAGTGAATCCAATATTTTGCGTAAGCGTCGAGTTATTAAACGACGTGGACGGTGTTGTCAAGGCTTCAGTAGTTGTTGGTGAAAGAGACCAAGGATCATTGGTACGTGGCGATGCAACAGTTGCTGGAGATGGTGCAGGTGCTCGCCATGGATCAACAGAGGCAGCTAAACATCAATGATAAATAAACTTTTAGTAATCATTATAGCGTTAAGTTAGATAAATCTTAAATTAATTTTTCAAAAATAAAATGAATTACCTGAAGATCCTAATATTGAAAAACCAAAAAGAAGATATTAAAAAAATTTAATAAATAAAAAAAATTATAAGTTTAAAAAAAAATAATAATGTCTATGATAAAAATATTAGTAATCTTTGAATACTTCTAAGAAGAGATAAGTAAAATAAAAAAAATTACTTGGACGCTGAGGAGGAACTGGAGCCCATGGATCAATGGGCTGCGTTGTACTCGTTGTAGGAACACTCCAAGGATCGGCATGAGCCTAAAAATATATTTGATTGAGTATATTTAAACAATTATCTAATTGTAAGTGTATAAATAACATTTAGTTAATAATAATATAAAACTATTTATATATACAAAATATTATCAACACACGACATACCTTGTAGTCGTAATAGCTAGATAAATCCAATGACTGGCATGCAAGTGCAAAAAACATTGACGTTTCATGCAAATAATGATTTTAATTCTTAAATAACGTGCAAACTACATTTTAAATCATTGTAAAAGAGTTAAATAATGTACCTGCGGTCTTGGTGGTGGAGGTACAATGGGAATACCCCAAGGATCAACTTGCTGCTGTTGTTGCTGTTGTGGCTGTGGTTGAGGACCTCCACCACTGGCTTCACCCAAGTTCACATCAAGCAAATCGAGCATGTGGCTTGCTTTTTCAGTCGGCGGTGCTCTATAAATTAATAAGAAATTTATAAATAAATTGCACTCCAATCAATTAAGATAATTTTTTGCAATCTTTCTTTACAAAATAATATTCTTTTAGTCACAAGAAAAATTAATAGAGTTTAGTTTCTTATTACTAATTGCAAATACAGTTATTTAGTACGTAATTAAATTGTTCGAATAATCTGTATATAATTATTTTGTCTTCATTAAAATATATTGAGAGAAATATAAATAAATAGATGTATAAAATATTCAAATGAATTATTAAAGAAGAAAGTATTCAAAAGGTATAAGACATTAAAATGCAAATGAATAGTACAATGGGAGAATTAAAATTGATATTAAGTCGACAATAGAAAAATCTTTAAAGATACAAATCTTACTTGAAATCTTGTTGGCTCTGGCTGAGAGCAAGTTGCAATCTAACATCGTCACTGCGTCTTCTTTGTTCTTCTTGTTCAGCTTCCTCTCGTGACATAGCAAGAGCCAATTGTAGTTGTAATTCCTCTTCACCGACAGTTTGTGGTCTTGCAGCTTCCAATTCGGCTAAACAATACATTATTTCCATTGTGCAAGAGGATTATTTTAATTTTAAAAATTATATGATGCATTCCATATTCTATATCTACGCCAATAACTCTATTTTTATATTTCATATAACACTTAACTTGATTACATAAAAAAAAACTCATCAATCAACTATGGTACAGTTAAGAGCTCTATATCAACTATCAAATAAAATTCAAAGAACAAAAAATTAATAATAATGGAGATAAAGAATTTTAATCTTACGTTTTGATTCGGTTTTATTGCGATAGGGTTCCCAATCTGGAGAACACAACTGTAATAAAATTATAAGGTGATTAATTATTAATACTCCTAGACCCTTTATTGTATTCCTGATAAATACTTACATCTCCCACAGAATCTAAGCCATCACTTCCGAAACCGCTAACGGATTGAGCAAATCTTTCTTTAGCTTTTAAAGCTCGAGCTCGTTCATTTCGTAATCTTTCGTCGTCTTTTAATAAGGCCACTAATTGTTTAGCTTTTTCTCTTACATTAATTCCTTGATCCTTGATTCCTTCCATATGTTGAAAGTCTTTAAGTGTTTGTATAGCAAATATATTCTCTTTACACTGCTGTGCCACTTTTTCTGAACCTGTTTTAATTAAATATTCTAATAGAACCAAAGCTTTGTAAACATGCCGCCAATTTTTTCCATGATCATTGAGTCGTTTCCATAACATTTGCATTATTTCAGTAAATGCTACTACATTGTAAGTTAAATCGGCTATTTCAGCCATCAACGTGCTGCTAGGACCCCATGGATCGTTGCTTGTTGCTTTCCTTACTGCTTTCTACACATGGAAAAATAAAAAAAAGGTTAATAATCTTATTAAGTGATTCTCATTTAATTATATAAGTATTTAGTGAATTCTTCAGTCTACTTTGACTAATGATAAACAAAAAATAATTTATTTATTTATTTATAATTAATATTTTGTAACTATTAAAAAGAGGATAATTTATTTTTAAAAATAGTCAACATTCATTGATAAAAAAGACAAAAAAATTTATATGATTAATTACCTGAGCATTGCTGTAGTTGTGAGCAAGGTTCAAAATATCACGCCTAATGCCTGCTAGATTAACTTGCATTACGTCTTGGCCTTGTCTTCTCATCTGAAACAATAGAGTTGGTGTAGAAAAAACAGTTAGCAAGTTTTACTTTAAGTTGAATAAATTTTAAACTTATTTATATTGTGGTTAATATAAAAAAGTAGATTAGAAAAAAAAAACATAAAAAATACTAACTTTTCCAAAATAACTTATATGTATTCTCTTTGTTTAAAACTGACCAATCGTCACTGTTTTCCTAGAAAAAATAAAATGTATATACTTTTATTATGTTTTATCAGTAGTTATTATCTTAATATTATCTTATCATGACCAGTAAAACTTTTGGGTTATTTATTTTAAATAATTCAAAATTTATGTTAACAAAAATGAAGAACTTATTTTTTACTTGGTATTCTATAAATAAATAATCACAATAAAATAAACAGTATAAATGGAGCACTTTTATTGTTAAAAAATAAAGTTCTATCTTTAGTTCTTAGAGAAATATTCAAGGACTGTTAGATGCTTCAATCAATGTCACTTATGCAGGTCATTACCACTTAGTAAAGTGAGTAATTCAACAGCTATAGACTACTTCTTGTCTTCTACCTGTTTTTTTTGTGTTGTGAATAAGTGACGTGACTAAATAAAAAAAGAGTCAAGTTAAAAAAAAAAGAAAAAAAGAGGGGAAAAAAATTGTACAAAAACTATCTTGTCTCCAACATTTCCCTAAATTATAAACTTTTCAGTTAAATATATTTCATGATCAAGTTTTAGGGCTTCCTAGAAAAGAATTTAAGTACATTACACGTTTTACTGACCGTGAACTAATCGATTTTACCTGCAGTTTCATTTCCATGTGATTGGATTATACATAAATAATTGATAAAAACAATTACATAAACTGCCAATAGTGATATTATTTAGAGTTTTTCAATCAAAACAAATCGTTATTAAATAAATAAAAATTATAGAAGAATTATTTTTATGTAAATATTGACTTTTAAAGTGAAAGTGTATTAAATCTTTTAAAATATTCATTGAAGTAAATATGCAACACGTTTGAATAACTAATAGTATTTTATATATTAATTTAAGTAGTTTAAACAAGATAGATAAAAGCTTAATTATTATTGAATTATATATAAATATAAAAGATATTCAAACACTTTTAATTAAAAAAAGAATTTTTTTAAACAGACTTTTAAACAAAACTTACACTTGCCAATATTTAAAAAATCACAACTAATATTGAAAGAAGCTGTATCCGATAATGATAAACTAAACTTGATAATATTTATTCATATCACTTTACCACCCATTTTTTAAATAGAATAAATAGTTTATTTAAAAGTTATCATTAAATGCACAAGTTGATATAATCAATCATCAAAAAAAAAAAAACATGAAACTAATTTAAAGACTTCTGATGTTGGAATAAAAAAAAAAAGAGAGAAAATTGAGAAAGCTTTAAAAATATTTTAAAATAGAATTAAATTAAAATTTAAAGTAGGTTCATCTTTTATAAACCGTTATTTTGAAAATTATAAAGATAATAACATGTAAACATAAGATATATATCTTTTAATAATGGAGATACATCAGTAAGTTAATCTAATTATTCATGAATAAATGAGGTTTAATTTTTCTAAGTAAATTGTTATGTTTTTTTTGTCGTATTATTGTGATGAAATTAGTCATTCATCTTTCCAAGAACTCATTGAAAAAATAGGATGAAATATATTTTATGTAAAGCTTTCTTTAATGAAAAAGATACATTTTTGAGGTTATTATGAAAAAAGATCAGGTAACATTCAAGTCTGTTATTGAATTAAATCAGTTAAAAAATTAAATGAACTTTGACATTGACGTCTGGGTTAATTCTTTAGCTTATAGCAGATTGGAAAAAGAAAAAAGATAGAATGACTCAAAGAAAAATCACATAATTGAAGATAGATGCAAAGTATAGCATTTTCGTTATATCTTTAAAGATAACAATAACTGATGTAATGATTGTTTTTTTTGAGTATTTATGCATAAATCTGATATTTATACGT